AAGGCCCCCGCGGCGCCCGCGCCGCCGTCTCGGCGGGGCGGCGCGCGCGTCGGCAAGCAAGCCGCGCGGTAAGCGTCCGCGTTGCCCCGCTGCAAAGCCGCGGCGAGGCTTTGCCGGGCCTCCGCCAGCACCTCTGCGTCCCCGCGCGCCCAGGTCCGGAGCAGCGCTTGCGCTTTCGGCCCCGCCCGCCCAAGGGTCTCAAGGGCGAGCGCCGTCAGTGCGGGGCCGGGGTAGCGCCTGTGTTTGCGCTCCTCCGCGGCCGTTGCAGCGGCGCCGTTGTGGACGGCGCGGCTCCGGCCCGCCGCGGTCCCGGCGCCAGTCGCGGCGTTCGCGACCACCGTATCGACGTACACCACGCCGGCGGTCGGGTCGGTGTAGGTCACGTCCAGCCGCGCGGCGTCGACGGTGCCGTCGGGCAGGTCCTTGTCCCACGCGGAGACATGCTGCTCGGTGTCCACCCCGTTGGCCCCTCGAGCGCGCAGCCAGGCAGCGAGCCAGCCGCGCACGCTGTTGTGGCGCGCGATGGTCCCGCCGCCCACATGGCAGTCGACCACGTGGCTGGGGTCCGCCCTCAGGTCTGCTCCGCACGGCGCGCCGTCCCGTCGGCAGCGGAGGCAGGCAGCGCTCGCGTGAGCTGGCAAGGGGAGCCGCAAGCGGAGGGCGAGCGCCGGCTGGAAGTGCGCGTCGGCCAAGTAGCGGTCCTCCTGCGTGGGCGGCTGCAGCCAGCTGCCCACGCCTTGTCCGCCAGCCGAGCGCAGCAGCGCGGCCCGGTTGGGCGGCAAGGCGGCCAGTAGTCGCTGCCTGCACGCCTGCTGCTCCGCGGCCGAGAGAGCGCGCTGCGCCTTCCGGACGGGCTCGGCTGCGGCCGCGAGCCGAGGGGCAGCGCCCTGCTGCAGCGCGCGGCCCGCCCCTTCCGCGGCCAGGGGGCACCAGTCCTGGGCCCAGGATCGGCCAAGCCAAGCTCGGTGAGGTGGTTCCCTAAAATTCGACGCCTCAAAAAAAACAGCAAAAAGCACTGCAGGAGATCCGAAACTTCAGGATAGCGTAGTCGAAGAGCAGTCGATTTGCAGGCTGGGATTGTTGATCCAATCCACAAGCAAGGAACATGGAGCGGTGTAGTTGCGGGGTGACTGAACAGACGCTCGTATATCGCCCGTTGTACGGAGTCCGCTCGCAATGTGTTTTCAAGATGCGGAGGTTGCAACCCGCAGTGCTGTTGCTCCTCTTTGAAACGTCCGTAAAAGTACGCATGTATATGGCGCACGATGTGTTTCTAAATCGATCCACGCTCAGTTGATTGACTGCGCAGCACGTGATCAGCTGTTCGTGAGGCTGGCTGCCGACAGCTGTCAGCTAACAGAACTCGCTTGAGGAATCTGGTGGCCCTGAGGATCCTCCACCCTCGTGCCTCCAGACACAGCGGCGGGTCTAAAGCCACCTGCTTTCGGCCGCCCACCGTCTTCACGGGCACGTATCCCACATACAATCCACAATACGACCACTGCGAATCTCCGATGTGTGAGATCTGCCATTTCATTCGCAGCGCGTCGAGAACTGAAGATTCTCAGATCCAAGGAAGGGGTTCGAGACTAAACTCAGTAGTTGTGAGGGAACTGAACGAACGCCTGTGTCCTCTAAGGGTTTGTGCCGGAAGAAAGAATCGCGCACACCTTCATGTGCACATCATGCTTCACGCGAAACCCAGAGCGGCAGCGTCGCAGCCCTTTTTTATCATCCCTCCCCCGCTGGGGCAACGACACGTCCAGGCATGAAGCAGGGTTCCGTCAGAGCCGCAAGTCGAAAGCGTGGAACCCCGACCTCACGTTCAGGCAGGTGAGCAAGCGTCGTCGAGGGCCTGAAAGAGCACAGCGTCGACGATGGCACGACCGATCGGTTCCGGACGGCTGCGCTTACACGGGCAGCATTCAACCACGACATACTGGAACGGGATAGACGTTGCGTTCCGTGGTCAGACAATCATTCAGGATGTGAAAAAAAGACACAAACTATCGGAAAATATGGGAAGTGGGGGGAAGACGAAAATCCAAACAATATAGACAAATATGGGGAATCCTGTTATTTGTGTGCATTTATTTGTGTATCCTTGGGCCTCGTCAGTCATGTCACTGGCGCGCGGGGGCAGCTCGTACAGCCATCAGGTTGACGCGCAAAGGTAAATGGTATGCGCAGACGCTTGCGAGTGTGATGCCTCGTTGAGAGAACGTACCCGAGGGCCGAAATGGCACACGATGGATCAGTTGTCCCTACGTAATGAGCAGGATTGAAGTGGCAGCAAGCTATATATATATATATATATGACATGTATGCGTAGATAAGCATGTAAATGGATAACAGGGCATACCTCCCGCGGAGGAGGGGGGCACTTCCAAGGATCGAAAGAATCCCACAAGGAGAGAGCACGTTGGCTAGAGGCGTGCATGCAACAGTTGCGCCCGACGGCAAGCGCGTTCCTCCGACGTTCGACGTTCCAGGATCGAGGTGCTGTTGACGCATGCTGCATTGGTTTGACCCAGAGACCCTCAGATGACCTCCGCAGGGCCCAAATGGAGCTCGGGGGGCTGGCAGGCGTGGGGCTGAGGTGCAGAAAGCAGCGCTGTGGTCTCAAACGTCGCCCTCACAGAGGGGGGCGGGAGAAGAGAGGGGAGGAGGAGGAGGAGGAGGAGGAGGAGGAGGAGGAGGAGGAGGAGGAGGAGAAGGAGGAACAGGAGGAGCAGAAGGAGGAACAGGAGGAGCAGGAGGAGGAGAAGGAGGGAGGAGGAAGAAGAGACGTAGGAGGAGGAGGAGGAGGAGGAGGAGGAGGAGGAGGAGGAGGAGAAAAAGGAAGATGAACAGGATGGATGACGGGGAGGAGGAGGAATAGCAGGATGAGGAGGAGAAGTGGGAGGACGAGGAGGAAGGAGGAAGAGGAGGAAGAGGAAGGAGGGAGGAGAGAGGAGGGAGGAGGGAAGGAAGGAGGGAGGGAGGAGGAGGAGGGGAGGAGAAAGAGAATGGAGCACCCTCTGGTGCCTTTTCCTCCTCCTCCTCGTCCTACTTATTCCTCATCCCTTCTCCCCCTCCTGCTCTCTCCCCCTCCTCCTCTCTCACCCTCCTCCGACCCCGCCCCTCCAACTTGTCGTCGGCCTCGTCATGGGCACCCCCCCCTGCTGCCCCTCCTCCCCCTCCTCCTCCCCCTCTCATCCCCGTCGTCGTCGCCATCGTCGTCCTCTTCCTACCCTTGTCCCCCCTCCTTCTCCATCACCCCTCCTCCTCCTCCTCCCCCTCCTCCTCCTCGTCCTGCTCCTCCTCGCTCTCCTCCGCCCTCCCCCCTCGCCCTGCCTGCCCGCTCCCCGGACCCCCGACGATGCCCGATGCCAAGCCTCGACCAGCCACGCCGACGACGACGGCGACCCACGCGGAGAGCAGCCGCCGACGGCCCCGCCCGCCGCCCAGGCAGCGCGAGCAGGCCGTCGGCCGCGTCGTGGCCGGCCTCAGCGCGCTGCTCCAGGCCGAGCTCGGAGGCCGCAGTCGGCACCCGCCCGGCTCAGCCGCGTGTCGGCGCGTCGGCGGCCCCGTCGGCGGCCCAGCTGGCGGCCCTCGGCGGCGGCCCATCTTCTGGACGCCCGAAATGGGTACCGAAAGAACGGGTACAGTGCCCAACAGCAGTTCCTGTTCATTTTGAACAGGGCTCGCTGTCCACGCCGCCGCGGCCTGTGTCCATTCGAGACAGAAGGCCGCCTGCCCAACAGCGGCCGCTGTTGGTTTGGGACAACATTTGTTGTTGGGCATCGTACCCATTTTTTCGGTACCCATGTCGGGCGCCCAAACATCTGGCGTTGCGTCGGGCCGGTCCCTCTGCAGGAGGGAGCTTCAAAGACGGTCAACAAGATAGTCTGTGGACGGTTTCTGTTCCACTGTTTTTGGAGCGTTTCTGGCATATGTGCTGCATACTTCCTAAATTTCTCGCCCAGCATGTGTGGCAGATGTGTTGCATACTTCCTAAAGTTTTTACCCAGAATCCCCCTGTGGGGGGACAGGGCCGACCTCAATCTGACGGCCCACCTGGCGGCCCATTTGGCGGCCCTCGGCCGCCCCCCGGCGGCCCGCGGCCGCGGCCTTCGGCCGCCCGGCGTCCTTCGTCGGCGACGTTCGTTCGTCGTCGGTCGTCGGTCGTCTGTCGTCGTTGGCGTCGGTCGTCGGTCGTCGTCGGCGTCGTCGTCGTCGTCTTCGTCGTCGTCGTTCGTCGTCGTCGTCAACGTCGTCTTTGTCGTCGTCGTCGTCGTCGTCGTTCGTCGTCGCTCGTCGCCGTTCGTTTTCGTTGTTCGTCGTCGTCGTCGTCGTTCGTTGTAATTCGTTATGGCTCGCTGCGGCTCGTTCTCGTTCGTGGTCGCCGTCGTCCAGTGGAGAGGATGAGTAGGAGGAGCTGGAGGGAGGAGGAGGAGGAGGAGGAGGAGGAGGAGGAGGAGGAGGAGGAGGAGGAGAGAAGACCAGTGTAAGCCCAGGATCCATCACCGACGCTGCGATACACCACCCCGTCCCAGCTACCCTCCCCGTGAGTCCCTGGACACTGTCCTCTCCACTGCGGGTCGCCCCCCCCCCCCCCCCCCCTCGAGCGACGAGAGCCTGCCGGGCCTGCCACGCGGGCGAGACCTCGAGCATTCCAGCGCAAGGGAGCGCAGAGACGCGGGAGGAAAAAAGCTCAGGCAGGTGTCCAGCGACGGCGCCGTTTCTGAGCCGGAGGTGCCCTCCGTCCGTGCACCGACTGCACAAAAGTTCGGGATGGTGGCAGTATAGATGCCGCGGAGGCTTGAGACGAAATCCACCCTTTTGACGAGGAGCCGCCCCCAACCCGTGCCAGCATTGCACAGGTGGGAACCTCGAGGCCTCGAAGTGGAGGGCGTCTCCGGCGAGAGCGGCAGTTTGAAGACGAGCCGTCACAGTATTGCAATTGGTGTGAGGGTCGGGGCCAGAGACCAGATGAGCAGACGCCTGTCCAGGCCGCAGGCGTAGCCACTTTGGTTCAGGATGGGCTTGGCAGCTTTGCGCTCGGCATGGCTCGCCGTTGGTGGCGCGTGTGCGACTTTGGACGAGGCATCCCTGGATGCGGCCCAGCGCGCCTCTGCGGCGGCTTGGGAGGACAATCCTCGCTGCAATACCGCCGTGAGTCAGGATGCCACCGAGGGCGGGCTCGGACTCTGCATGTCCGAGCCCGCGGCTTCTTTTGTGGCACGCGCAGAACTGAAGCAGCGACTGGTCGAGGACAAGGTTGCCGTAGCGTGGTCGGACTTTCATTCGAAAGCAAAACCTGGTTCACTGCGGCCCCCGCCCTACACGTTTGTGCAGCAGGATCTTGGTGCAGCTGAGGTGGCAGAGCAGATACAGGCCGACTGCGCCCCGCTGTCTGAGATGCGACTTCCGGAGGTGACCTGGGATGGCGAAGCGTCCGCCGGCATCGCGCTGAGTTCGCTGATCCAGGATGCGGTCGTGCTGGTCCGCGGCGCTGTGCCTGCATCGGAACGGAACTGGCTTGACGATGCCCGCAGGTACCTTCTTCAGAAGGCAGCCCAACCCAGCGCTGAATTCACAGAGTACGTGCATTTGTCGAAGCATCGGCACCATCTCCGACTTCATGCCTCCGAGCATCCGCTTGTGGAGCGCCTCTGGCGAACACTGGCACAACGCACCGGATCAGTACTGCTTCCAGTTGTGAGCCAGTTGGGCGCCGTGGTCGAGTTTGCGGCCTTCATCACAAACCCTGGCGCTGCTGGCCAGAAGCTGCATTCCGATAGTGGGAACACGTTTTCGCCTCAGCAGGCTCCGCTTTATTCGGCGTTCTTGTTCCTCAGTGACCTCGACGATGCCAGCATGGGTCCACTGCAGGTTGTCCCTCGGACGCATGCGATATCAACGAAGCGAGACCAAATCCGCTGGGCTGTCCAAGCTCTGGCTAAGGCGGGGGCGGACGCTCGGTGCTTGGACCACTGGAAGTTGCTTCCCATCCGTGCTGGGGATATGGGCATGTACGATAGTTCTGCCTTGCACCGTGGCACCGCGAATACCGGAAATCGCCCCAGAGTTGTTGTGTACATGAGCATGTTGGGTGTTGGTGAGTTGCCATTCGGCTCGACATTCGCAATCGATACTCGATTATTGGACTCACCCCAAAGATTGGAAAACCTATTGAGCAGCGTCAACGCGTCGCCGAGTGGTGGCTCGCTGCGTACCTCTGAGCTTTGACCGCGCCGCGGTGCACGTGCTTGAGCATCAGCTTCGCGCTCGTCTGAGCGGCAGATGGCGAGATTGTGGACATCACGCATGCTTCAGTGTGTGGCAGGTTGATGTCTCGACGATCTGCTCGCGGCAGTGTCGTTTCCAGGTGCAGGGCAGGGGGGACGAGATGTTGTTCTACTATATGTTCCCTCGGTCAGGCCACTATTCCTCATCTCCCTTGTCTTCGCGTCCTCCCCCTCGTTCTCCACCGCGCCGCTTCCTCCCCCAGAGCGCTCCGGCACGCTCTGCGACGGCCGCTGCGTCCACTTGGTCCTCCAAGCCCGCAAGCCTTCTGCGGTTCCCGATTCCCTCTCCTCCGAGTTTGCCCTCCTCTTGCGACCAATTGCGGACCTCACCCTGCGGGTCCAACCGACGCTGGGGTATCGGATACCCCCGCTGGGGTCCATTCGGTCGCAAACATCCGTCGGATGCTGGACCATCTGATCTGCACGGGCAGGGATTGCCTGTGGTTGCCTGCTGTGGGGGTGCTCGTCAAGGAACGTGCCCAGTAGGCTTCAGACCGTGGGGGATCTCTTGCCTGATGGAGGCGGCAGTGGCATCCCTTGCCCAGTGCCCTCACCGAGTCCCCAGACCCCCGACGCCATGATTGCTTTAACGACGTGAACTCCGAGGGGTCTCAGCCCATCCCCTGGGACCTGTTTCCACCCTCTCCGTCGTTCTCCGACGGCCCCGAGGCGCGGCGAGGGCCCCCAGAGGCCAGAGAGGCCGAAAATTGACAGGCAAAACCCAGCCGTGCTTCTTTCATGGCCCGAGGGGCCGTGGGCAGCCGATGCACGTCCCGCTTCCGTCCCGCCTTCCGTGAGCGATGCCGGCTGCTGCCGCTGCGAAGCCTCGGCAGCCGAATTTGACCGATCCGACTCGGCATCGGCGATGACCAGCCCGGTTCGATCTCGATG